TCAGGAGTCATATTAAATGGCATATTAAGAATTCAAGAAAAAATTAATTTGGATAAATCAAGTTTGAGTTATAACACATTAAACTAAATTACTTGATGAATAATATATTAGTTTCCAAATTAGACCATATTAACATAACAATATTGGAATCGTTTAATATTTGTAATTAATTATGTATATTAAGTTCGAAAAATTTATATTAAATAAGTCGAACTATGTTAGAATCGACCAAAGAATATTGTAGTTACATAGTTTTTTTAAGAAATTAACCCATTTCCAGTTTTTTTAAGAAATTAAATATTGGGCCTTGTGTTTTTTTTTTTTTTGGTGAGACCATAAGCTATTGCCTAGTTGGCTTTGGCTTAGGGTCAACCTTGATCACTTGTCTTATTAAATTATAAATTCAATTAAATACAATAATTTATTATAACATCACATACTTATGTGTAAACTGGTTCTCTTACACCATTGGTGTTGGACAACACTTTTAAAAAAAATTAATTTCCAATCATATATTTTATTAACTTCTATTAAAATTTACTAAAAATCTAATATTAGTTAAATCAAATTGGGCAAAAACTCGGGGTTGTGTGGGATCATGAGGTGAGCCAGCGGTGGCGGTTTGGGTGAGGGTGGTTGATGAAGATGAAGCCCTCAAAAATCTACAATCTAAAGCTTTTTCTTCTAAATTCCTATTGTCAGCAAAAATGTCATGAATCTATTTGTAATTTTAGAAAAGATTTTGGATTCTATTGTAATTTTTTTTTCTCTATTTTCAACTTAGTTCCTTTTTTCAGTTTTTCAAAATTTGATTAGGGGAAAATTTGTCACTTAAATGTACTCAAAATGTTTTGCTACATTTTCGAAAGTTCAAGAATATATGATGTAAAAAAGAAAAATGATATTCATCCCCAGTGGGGATGCATCCCCAATTTATGTGGATGTAAATAATTGGATAAATGATAGGTGAAATTAAATTACTTATTTAATTTCACATATTATTTAATGTCACATAGACTGAGGATGTATTCCCAGTGACTGAGGATGCATTCTCAGTGGAAATGAATAGCATTTCTCTATAAAAAAAAGATTGAAAGCTAATTAGTAAATAGTAACATTTCACAAAATTTGAGTACGGAAAGCGAAAAAAAAATAAAAAAATAATAATAACCCATAAGAAGAATTTTCTATAGTTCGACAGGAAAAGCCATAGTTGTTGGTCCACGTGATTGCATTGTTCCCATTCCACCTAACACTTCTCTCCGTGTACCCTCCAAGCGCATTATAGAATAGACCGTTAGCTTATACCATCCGTGCGCGGTGCGCCTTGTCTTTGACTCGATTCCGGGCTGCCATAATCCATTTAACAAAAAAATGAGAAGTCAAACTAAGCCGTTGTTTGAGCTCCATTGAAATTAATTTTTTAAGAAATAATTATTTTTTAAGAATGTGTGAGTGTGATTAGTAGAGAATGAAAAGTTATAAATTTACGTATAATATTATTTTGGTGATGTAGAGTGTTCATTTTGGTGAACATCTAAATATATTTTTCTTTTTGTCCTTTTTTCATTGTTTTTTAAAATCGAAAACAGAAAATGACTTAAAAATGGTAAAAAGAACAGACCCTACATTATTCCAACTTTCGCTAAAAGTACTTTAACCCGATAAAGCTTCATAGAATTATACAAACAAGTTCAAAAATAATTTTTAACTTTTCAAAAATTTTGCGAAACAAACTTTAAAGTTTGAAATCATCTACTTTTGCTTTTTGTTGAAGAATTTAACGAGAAAATTTCTTCTAATTAAATAAAATACTTTTACAAATTTATATACAACTAATTTGATAGATCCCAACTACTTTGTTATGGGTAGACTCATTCGACTAACGTTAGAGTGTGTTTGGTAGGGATTTTTGGGGGAATAATTGATTTTTGAATAGTGATATGATGGAAAATGTGTGGTTGAAAAAGAAGAAAAAAATATTGATATGATGAAAAATATTATTTTATTGAAAAATGTGT